ATTTGGATGGAACTAGAGGCCATCATTGTAAGCGAAGTATCTGAGGAATGAAAAACAAACAGCACATGTACTCTCTAATAATTGGGAGATAATCGATGGGCACACACTGGCACAAGGAGAGGCAAAGGTCATTGGAAATCAAGAAGGGGGAGGGAAGAGAGACAAAAACTTGCCCATCAGGTACCATGAACCCTATTCAAGTGATTGGCATGCTGAAACCCCAGCTGAAGCACTATAAAAGATTTCTATGTAACAAAAAAAAATCTGAATCCCCTTTATGTTTTGAAATAGATAAGAAATGAAAAAAGAAAAAGAGAAAAACAATTATCACAAAGAGCTAAGAATTTGTAGGTGTTTGTGTACATTAGGATACAATTTAGATAAAAGTGATAAAGACAGTCTTGAAAAAATTAACCTCACCTGAGTATAGATTGTGGTATGTAGACAAAATTGATGAAAGATATGTGCATATTTGTCAAATATTTTAATTATAATTGGTCATTTCTTTTAAATCTAGATAAAAATGATACAAAGAAATAAAATCAAATTGGCCTCAGATTTATCTTTAACTACACTGAAGCCCCCGGTATTGGTTTAAGTTCAACCTAATTTTGGAGAAAAAAGTAATAATTCTAGAAATATATATTCAGCTGAGTTGGCATTTTCATGGGAAGGCCTTAGAGAAATATTGACATATATGAAAAAATTCAGCAAATATACTCAAATAAAAGCTTCTCTTGTGTATTTTTGATGAATTTAGGTCATTAAATAGGATTTCTGCCAAAGTAAAGAAAATTAAGAATGGAGAAATCATTCAGGAAAAGAGTAAATTGTGGGTGGCACCTGTGGCTCAAAGGAGTAGGGCGCTGGCCCCATATACTGGAGGTGGCGGGTTCAAACCCGGTCCTGGCCAAAAAGTGGAAAAAAAAAAAAGAATAAGTTGTACAAACAGAAATACTAATTATACAAATAATTGAAATTACTCCCAAGGAATTGAGGAACAGAATATAAAGAATACAAAAATGTTTTCATAAAAATATTTCCAAAATAAATATACAAACTGTATCAACAAAGACTATGGAGATGAGGTAAATTAAAGGAATCTAAGAATGTTAACTTCTTCATTGTAAAATGAGAAAAATGACTTCTTAATAGACTTCTCCTGAAGAGTTATATTTAAAGTCTGGGTTTCGTTGTAAGAATATGTATTTTTTTAAAGTTGAAAGTACTTACCAGTAGAACAAATAACAAAATAACTTTTAAACCAACAGAGAAAAATAAAAATAGGAAAATAAATAAAAGTGCAAGAAATGCATAAAATCAAATATTTCAATCTCATACTATATTTTAAAAGTAGGATAGAAAATTTAAATTTAAGCATGATTCTAAAATGAAGAAACTACACTAAAATGGTAAGTGGTCCTCTCGAGCTGTTTATTTCTTTTTATTTAGTGGTAATTTTTCTTTCTTCTTTGAGAATATTTTCTAAGTTTTCTAAAATGACAATATATTTTTTATAACAAAAATAGCCAATACAGGTTATGACTGAATAGTGTAACAGAAATATTAGCTTCTTGTATTTTCACTTTGGATATAAGAGAAGATGGAAATGAGGAAAGAGATTATGATCTTATAAACAGAAATAAGAAAAAAGAAAATGGGGTAGGTTGTCCTATGTATACCTCACACACAGTGATTTCTGAAATTCTAAGCCAGAGAAGGCAAACATGACTGAATCTTAGGTTAAACAGGAAAGAAATGTCATCTTCACAACTAAGAGATGTCAAAGGTAGCGTGTTAAAGTGTGCGAGTGTGTATGTGTGTGGTTTTGTGTCTATATGGATTTCTACAGCCAAACTACAATTGTCAATTGTAGGAATGAAGGTTCCCCTAGTCTGAAATCTCCCTGTTCAGTTATTTACCACCTTGCTAACTTTTACATTATCTATTGAGGTATGTCGTATTTCATCATTCAAGTCAATCTAAACCTTTATTCCATATATAATTTTTTGTCTCTCCATAAATTGCCTTAAAAATTCAAACTCCTAAATTTATTCTCAGCTATATTTCATGGTTTGTTCTGTGTGTAAAGTATTTTCTCACCTATAAATGTGTAGATTACTGATCTAGTAACGTGTGTTTTGTTTTCACTATGGACATTATATGTTGAACAGCTAAAAGAGGTATGTGATTGGTTCTCTAGGCCACTACTGCATAAATAAACTGGAAATCAACTTGCATCAGAAGGTGCATAATTTATGTATTAAAATTGCAGAAGAAATCACAGCTGAAAAACTATCTTCGTGTGATATGAGTGAAGCATCAGAATCACATTGCTTCTGTTCGTATCTTACAAACCGCATGCTGAAGAGGACAATCCATCAGAGAGAATGAATACATCCTAAGCAGAGAATTTACCATCTTTAGCACCAATTTTTCTTTTGATTTTCAATGCTTTAGGTACAAAAAAAATGAGATTCACTAAAATTTATTTTTCAGGATAAATTGCAGCCATGTAAGTATAACATCTAGAGGAAAGCTGTACCAAGGAACTCAGTCCATGTGTTTTCTGTAGACTACATGTGTGCATGAAGGACACGTCTCTGGGCCTTTCGATGTAATAATGTCAAAAACTAAATGTCTTTCTGAAAAAAACCTCTTTTCTTATATTTTTAATTATCCTTATCTTTTCCTGGACATGTCAACTTTCTAGATAAGTTAGCAATAGATGGGGCAGCAGAATTGAAAAATAAGCCATATTTTTGGGCTCTTTTTTGCTGTTGTTTTTCTCACATTCAAAATCTATGGAAGAAATAATTTTTGTGCTGTATTACCCTATAACCAACTTCATAATGAACTGCTTGTCTCTCTATCTCTTGCAAGTTACAATTCAAGGGTTCATATTTAAATAAAAATTCTTAATATACATTAAATTTCTAGTATTGTGAAAGTTATTGCAAAATGAACTGATGAAAACTGGAGTGGCACATAGCATAAATAAAACTGCTTTCAGAAACTGGTTAGCTATATTTTGCTTAACTCTGAAGGACTCTTATTCCCTTATATCTTAATCTCATATAAAACTACCCTTAAATAGTTGAGACTATAAATAGTAGTATTTTAGAGTAGGATAAGATTTTACATCTAGAGTATATATTTGAAGATACAGAAATGAGAGGGGGATAAAAGAAAATCAATAATATTTTTTCTATTTCCTTCATCACATATACCAATTTTCCCCGTTAAGGATTTGGAAATTGTGGGCATTTTATATATTACAGTTAATTTATAATACCCATAACAGGCAGTTAGTATTGAACTTCTTCATGTCTGAATTATCATAAAAATGGAAAGTAACCTTCCCAGAAGTGCAGACTTAAATATCAACTTTAAGCAACCAAATAAGCATGTGACAGAACACGAATCAAAATAAAACACTTATACCAAATTGGCACAAACAAAACACATTAACATAAATTAAAATGAATTAATTTATGTAAAATTGTACAAGTTTCCAAATGAAACTTTTTCCTTTAGTAATGACTTTGTGTGTTTACTACACAGGCACTTTATTATTACCAAATTTCTATAAATATAACTCACGCATCATCAACATTAAAGAATAAAAATCAAAACAGGGTAACGCCCTGATTTCATTCATGAGGGCACTTTTCTTGAGCTGAGAGACATTTAATAACGGGAAGCAGAATATAGCTCTAGATAGGTAGTTCTAAACGGGAAATCTTGCTCCCCAGAAGACATTTGACAATGTTTAGAAATATTTTTCATTGCTGTGGCTCTGGGTGACGCTGCTAGCATTACCCAAGTGGATAAAAGGCACGGATTCGGCTAAATATTCTGCCCTGTAGAGGACAACAAAGAATTGCCTGACCCAAAATATCAAGAAGTTGAAATTTTTGCTCTCAGTTTGGGTAGGGAGGCAAGTTTACCAGGAAGCATTAAGTTTCATAAAATATCTCCCACTAAAGCTCAAAGGAACAGTTTAGGAAGCATTTTATTGGTGGTGTTTACAAAGAATTGTCATTTTGGAGAAGACTTATGCACTGGGATTTCTAGCACTTATATGAGTTTTTGCAATAGAAAATTAAAATAAAATGAACAGAGCTATAGAAATAGAGTAAATTAAGTTTGAGTAGTGGAAAAATATTTTTGTCATGTAAATACTGTAAAGTAACTATAAATAGAGGGACTATGGACTCCGATGTGGCTTGTCATGAATCAGCACCGTGTGGAAAGCATAATGTGCAAATAAAGACCGTGGAAATAGAAAGGCCCAGGGGCTTAAAAATGCATTCTGCCCTGGTGAGAAGAATAGGTCATCAATAGTCAGGTCCCCAGGTCCCCAGTGCCAGTCACTTGCATATCACACATGATTTGCTAAAAGTTTATATTGAGGTTAACGGCATCCAGATTACACCAAGATGCAGGTTCTGTTTCTTTTAAATAATAATTTCCCTTGCACTTACAAAGCCCTGGTATAATAAAACTCTGGGATAGCATAAATAAATTAGACTTCTTACATTTGCGATGTCTAGCCTGCTGCTTCAAGTAGGTATACAAATAAGCATTTCATTTACAATATCTAATGGGATTCTAAACAATATCTAAGGAATCTGAATTTTAAAGTACAATTTTTGAGAATTGGAACAGACAGAAAAAGCTTTGGCTTCTTTCGACTCAGTTGTCATACCATTGTGTATATGATCTAGGTCTCCTTCTAGTGCAATATGGAGTCCTTGACGGGCACAGTAGGGCAGGAAAAAGGAGAAAGTAAGGGAGGTGTCTCTGATTCAAGAAGAGGAAAAAACGCTTCTCTGTTGTACCTTGAAAAACGATGCAATGACATCAGTACTTCCCTGGAGAGTACTATGGTCTAAGGCTATAAAAACCTGCCATGGTCCCTGAAACGGCTGTCTAGGAATATTTAAACTACAAAGGAATTTTCTTATTTTTAAAAACTACCCAACACAAGCACTTAAATATGTAGAATTCATTTAAATAAGTCAGTCAACAATTTTTTATAAAGTATTTAACACTTCATTGTAGAAACATAGGCAAAATGACTATTATAACCAAAATGAAAAATACTGTTCAATTTAAAAAATGTACTTAAACAAGAACTTGAAAAAGTTTATGATATGCATAACATTGTTCAAGCAAAATTGCACTAGTATTACATAAATCAATAGTTTATAAAGGCCTCAATATGGCAAAGTTTAGAAATAGGTAGTATGCATGCACATAGTACAACAAAAAATTCTCCTTATAAAACAGCAGTTTTTTAATGCTTGTACAAAGGGATAAAGAGCAACCACAAACATATTTCATCTGTTAGGTTAATACATTATGACAGCTAAAAGTCAGTCGTGTCTATCAGAGGAACAAAAAGCCCTCCAAAACTTGTGAATAAATCTTTTGTGCCTTTAAAGATATTTGTATAAAAATGCTATCTTTTTCTTTATACAACTTAAATAAATTGTACTTGTTTCAACTAAAATTTGAAAACAAACTAAAAAGTGAATGGGGTCCATGTGTATCTAATCAAAAGAAACCAGAATACCAGATTGGACTGGTGCAGCATTTATACTCTCCACCTTTGATTATGGGCAGATAATTGTTATTCTAGAACTTGGAAGGTCTTTGAGGAATATATTTTGGATACAGTAAATAATGGATTAGTCGTATTGTGTCTTGAAAATATTTATCACTCACTCTATACTAAAATGGTTATTTTATCTTTTACTTTTGACCTAGCAAAGAGAATGCTTTCACAATGAAATCCTGTCACCAATTTGTGTGCTTATGTATTATTTGTTAGCGTTCAGTGTGGTAAAGGATTGGGTTAATCTTCCACAAAATGCATGTGACTGGGAAGAAATCGTAACACACAAGTACCCAATGCCCTGTTGTGCTCTAGGCTGGTTATTTACCTCGGGGCTGAGGGAGAACGAATGGTCTCATTCCATAGCAAATGTGGTCTGTCCACTTAGGGTTATATGTTTGCTATGTTCTACCACCTAAATATAACTATTGCTTACAAGGTGTATACATTTATTATCTCACATAGAGTCTGCTAAGTTTTGAAAAATGTAGTCATCGGTGTTCATGCAAATTATTAATTTTATATATTTTTAAAGTATTTTCTCAAAATTTTCATCTATCACCTGGCAAGCTAAGGCTAATTTCAAAGCAGGAGATGCTGAATTTGTGGGAGCTATATATTTTCATCAGAGTCTCATTCAGTTTTCATGAGCACAAAGAACAGAGTTGACCATTCAACCCATCTTCCATCAATCTAAACAGAAAAATAAAATGACATCGTATTACAGCTTTCAGATCATATAATGAAAAAGTGCAGAGAATCTCATTGTTGATTAAGTAGAACCAAAAAAGTTCATATAAAATAGATCACTTATATTCACACTACAAAGGAACATATGTTATTTTAATTTTAACAAATTCAAAGGTGTGTCGTATCAGCAGCATTGTTGTAAATTGTACTGTAGTGCAGTTCTTTTTCATAAAAATACCATACAAATGGTCAATCAATAGTCATCAGCAAAAAATGAAACCCCAAAACTCAGAGAACAATTAACCAGGAAAAAGATAAAGAAAGAGGTAATGCTGATGCCAAAACAAGTATAATACTGTTGGAACATACAAAAGTAATCCTTATATTTTATACATTTATACAGCATATAAAAGATATCATTGATTATGCCACTGTCTCTCGTATACCAATTTCTAGTTTCTTTGGAAGTAGTTCTTTCCTTTCATCCACACTTCCTAAGGAGTTTCGACAGTGTTGTCCATCCATATATAATTTTGCATACACCGGATTAGAGTAATTTGTTGGCTGAAGGGAAAATAAGTAAATATAATTTTGTTATTTACTTGACCATATTAATTAGTTACTGCCACATTAATTAGTTTTAATGGTAACAATATTTCCATGCCATGCATTTAATATATTAACTAGTATGTGTGTGGGCTTTGGTTGCCTTTAGGATGGTATTAGATAAAACCATAATTTTATATTTTTCAGGTAAATAGTGAACCTAAGGGGAACTTTTACATATATTAAAAGCCAGAAGAAATCTTCGTGTAAAGCTATGCTAATTTGGACTTGATGATAAAAGCATAAAATGTTAAACCAAACTGCCACATGTCCAGTCCCCATGTTCTCTGGGGACTCTGTACTGCTGCTGCAACCCTGTAAGTGGCAGGCAAGATGTGTTTACACAAAAGTGTCTCATTGTTTGGTGATTATTTTTATTTTCAATGTGGGTCAACGAGCAAGCAAACCAAGAATAAAAAAGTAAAAAAATGCATCAGTGACTTTAAAATAAAGACAACATTTTTGCTTCAAATAACCTATATAGACACATCATTAGAAATATTTTTGCATTTGTTCAAACAGTTGGGAAGTACAGTCACGTTAAGTTTTACACTCATTCTGAGCATTCTGAAGTGACGGGAGGTGTGCAGCAGCTACCTCTTTCAGTTGGTAAACATATGTGATGTTCATTATTTGACAAACTGACAAACTATAGCTTAACCCAGCAAAGTATTGCCATGTGTTTGTTTGGTTTGTTGTTATTGATGGTGTAATTTTGTCTTTTCAAAAGTAGTACATTAAATCTTAGTTACAATAAGTTGCATCTTTGAGCCATGCAGAGGAGACAAGCATGACAGGGAATGAGAATGAAAGCAGGTGATGGGAAGGAGAAACAATGGGAGAATATTCATCCCGAGGAATCTTGACATGCATATTTCATTTTTCTTCTGCCTAAAATGAACTATGTAATTTTAGACTGGGTTGCTTTCTCTAAATAGCAGTTACTTAATTAAAGAACGTTCTGGAGAATGTTTTTTGTTAGAGCATATCTAATTTCTCAATATGATGAACCACTTTAAAGTCATATTTTTATTTAACTGCACATCAAATTTGTGTATATTAAATAAAACATCATAATAGGAAATGAATAAAATCAAACATAAATGTAAATTTTTCAGTTTAAATTTCTGGTCAAACATTCTTTTCTAAGACTAGCAAATGCTCAGGTTAAGTTTTCATTTTCAAATCCAGTAGAAGAAATATTTCTACTTAATAGCTTGCCTAAAATAACGTTTTATATGTAAATCTGCACAGGCAGATCACGTAATGTAAGCCCCCGATTTTAATGTTGCTTTGAAAGCTCTTGTTAATTAAAAACTTAATTAAAGACAAGCCTCTACCTAAGTCTAGTAATCAGTCTTTAATTGTGAGGGATTCTGTGATGGAATGGATATGAAATAATGAATTTTCTTCTCTCACCCCAGCAGTTAGCGGTCCTTTCAAGTCAGAGTTTAGGTAGATGGGCGGCGCTGTGTGTGGAAGCTTGAAGGCACTGGGCCCTCCCCCTATGTACCTGGTCTGAATATAAACAAAGAATTTTAGTATCTGATCTAATATCATGGAACCATTTTTCATCAATATAAATCATGTTAAATCATAAAAATAACATAAAAATACTCTTTAGCCTTAAGCCATAAACAGTGTGTTCATATTAGCTTTAACAACTTAAAACAGAAATATTAATACTGCCTTTTTAGTTCAGAGGTAAACATTTATATCATATCTAACTTACTGATAGACAGGCTATACAACTAGAGAATTCCATGCATTTCTGTTTAGCTTCATACTCCCCAAGGAAATGATATCTTTTATAAAGATAATATTATTTTATTTAAGGTTTTGCCATTTTGAAAAGTTCTAATGGTGGCCCATTCTGGACACTCAAATACCTGGCTGCTGCTTGAAATTAAAGACTCATCATTCTTCTATGTTTTAGGGAAAAATAAAACTCAAAATTTAATACACAAAAGCACTTATCTATATTTATGGAAGTCAGACTGTAGTCTAAGACAGATCAATTACCAGTTAAATTGACCCACTAAGTTTCCTTCTTTCTTTTTTTTTTTTTTTTGAGACAGAGCCTCAAGCTGTCACTGTGGGTTGAGTGCTGTGGCATCACAGCTCACAGCAACCTCCAACTCCTGAGCTCAAGTGAGCTTCCTGCCTCCGCCTCCCAAGTAGCTGGGACTACAGGCACCCGCCACAATGCCTGGCTATTTTTTGGTTGCAGCCATCACTGTTGTTTGGCAGGCCCAGGCTGGATTCGAACCTGCCAGCTCAGGTGTATGTGGCTGGCGCCTTAGCTGCTTGAGCCACAGGCGCCAAGTCAACCCACTAAGTTTCTATCCAACTGCATCAACTTTAGACTTTCTTGGGTGTAAAAGCAGAATTAGCTAATCTGGGACACTTATATTCATAATACAGTATTTATTAGCAATCTGCAAGGAAAAAAAAAGACCTAAGTGAACATTTCAAGAATATAAAAGTATTAAAAATATATATACAAATTTAAATATATTAACCATCAATTTGTAATAATGAACGACCAAAATGTTTGGGAGAAGGTGAAGGGATTCGGGAAAAGATTTTAAACATAAAATCAAGTCTCTTTACCTCTTTATTTTCTGTTTTAAAGGTCTCATTCAGAAAATATTCAAAGCAGTTCAAGTAAGAATTTTAATGAATTTAGTATAAAATAAGCTAATATGTGTACTAATTTATCTGTTTCAACTTTTCAAACTATTCTGTGGTTATCTCTATAGTCAAATCTAATTTACTTTCAGTCAAATCTATTTTATTTATTACATACTTTATTCCTTTTTATCATAAGGTACCTATTGAACTACAAATTTTACCTACTTTTCAAATAAGAGAAATGACTCTTCTAAAAAATTTTCTTCAATTTATATTGATTTCACCATGCATATATCAAACTATTGTAATACAGTGAATACTATTTAAAATTTATTTCATTATTAAGGTAACTTCATTGTGGCCCTCTGTTTTTCACTACTGTCTAAAGCTATCAGGACTAGCTATGTTGTCTATAGTTGTTTCTTAAGCAACAACTAATTTTACATTTCAATCATCTAAGACATATTCTACGCAATTTGGTTAGTCAGAAAATTGATAAGTAAATATTTACTGAGTATTCTGTGCTAACTGCAATAAAATTATATTTGAGGAGCAATGATGCATATGAGGAAGTAAGTGTGGAACAATTTTTAAATGGGGTATAAGAATCTATTCTCCTTAAGTGCAGAAAATTGGATTAATTCTATCACTAGACTAAAAATGATAAGGGAAAAGTGAGAACCCTTTTCATAGGAAAAGTTGTTAAAGTATACTCTCATTAGTCGATGTTATACTAATGGATACTATATTTTTATTCCTAAGAAAAATGCTAAGAATTTTAAAATTGTTATTTAAGATGTCTTTTTTCTTCATAGGAAAAGTATTAAATAACAGTGTTTTTTTCAGACAGAATGTATTGAAAGCAAGGTTACCAGAATTTATTATGAAAAATCTCAGTTTTAGGAGTGAGTTAATTGATTGGTAATAATAACTATAAAATTATTCCTAATTAGGAAAAAATAATTATAATATTCTGTGATAGTGCATAATTTATCCATGCAATAAGTATTGACTGATTTTCTCCTTCCTTCCTTCCTTCTTTCTTTCCTTTCTTTCTTTCTTTCGACAGAGTCTCACTTTGATGCCTTTGGTAGAGTGTTGTGGCATCATAACTTAGGGCAACTTTAAACTCTTGGCTCAAGCGATTGTGATGCTTCAATGTCCAGAGTAGCAGGAACTACAGGTGCCTGCCATGACACCGCTATTATTAGAGATGAGGTCTTGCTCTTGCTCAGGCTAGTGTTGACTTCCCAAGCTCAAGAAATCCACCCATCTCGGCCTCCCAGATTGCTAGGATTACAGGTGTGGGCCACTGCATCAGGCCTGACTGATTTTCATCAAAGTGATTGTTTGGTCATCAATTTCAGACATAGAAAGTTTGAGCTCAAACTTTCAGTTTGAGGATGGATTCAGCACTAGTTTGTGGATAGCACTAGTTTGAAGATATGGGATAATATCCAACTTCTTCGGGAACAGCTGTCATTGTCAGTGTAAAATTATCTAAATGCTGATTGGCCACTTTGATTATTTATAACTTAACAGTGCACTTAGGACAAAGTAGCTTGAATACATCAGAAAATAAATAAATGATCAATAAGTTGAGAAAAATTATTTCATAACAGCAAGCTGATAGTCTTAGAGAAAAATATTCTAAACGTGTCATGAAAAATATTCAGATAGTCCAATGAAATGAATAATCACAAGTTTAACTTGTTTGGAAATAGTATCATTTATCTATTTCTCTTGAAAGGTACTAATCTGAGTAGACAATAATATAAACTCACAGAAATTTTACAAGGCTGTGGATTTTTAGGATATATGTATTAATTATTTGTTTTAAATCCATAAGGATGCTAGAGCATACAGAAATATATTTCTCAAAAGTGATTTGAATACAAAGAAATCCAAGGACACAGCTTAGTTGGCTCTTCAATAGAACACTATTGAAAATAAAATACTTTTTTGACAATAAAGCCTTCTACACTTTTACATCGAAATATACATCAGCCAATACTTTTATATTATACTGTATATTTGGATATGCTAATTCCTCAACACATTTGAATAGTATATTATTAAATAAACTATATATATATATTTATGGGTTGCCATGTTATGATTTAATACATATATACATTGAATAAAAATCAAAAATCTGGGTATTTATCATACCTGTCACCTCATATGCTTATTATTTCTTTGAGGTGAGAACATCTAAAATCTCTCTTCTAGCTATTTTGAAATATACAATACAATATTGTTAACCACAGTCATCCACTGTGCAACATACCCTACCAGAAATTATTCCTTCTAACTGTAACTTTGTTACCCATTGACCAGTCTCTCCCTACATTCCTCTGGAAACCACTACTTCACTCTCCACTTATATACGAGCAACTTCTTTAGATCCCACATGTGAATGAGATCATGAAGTTTTTGTCTTTCTGTGCCTGGCTAACTTACTTCACTTAACATAATTTCCTCCAGGCCCATCTTTGTTGCTTCAAATAACAGGATATCTTTCTTTCTTTATGGCTGAATAATATACCATCTTGTATATATACCACATTTTTCTTTATCTATCTGTTGATGGATACTTAGGTCAATTTCATATCTTCGCTATTATAACAGTGCTGCAATAAACATGGGAGTACAGATATCTCTTTGATTTACTAATTTTGCTTTTATATGTCCATTAAAAACAAAACTAAAATAAATAAGTGTTAAAAGAAGAATGTACTCTCCAAAATCAATGAAAACAAAAATATCTGTAAGTACCCAGTTCCTAACAAACCCAAGCCCCACAGAACTACATAATTGTCCAATAACACTGTAAGGAAGAGAGTTAAAAAGGAAAAGCTTTATTGAACTCCCTGCCAGGCATAGTGCTAGAAACTGTGTATATGTTCCTTTGCTGAAAGTCAGTAGCATTGCTTTATGATAGATGTTCATCTGTCTACCTACCCACCTACCTACCAACACACTGGAAGAGACATAAACATTTCAATGTTTGGTATCAATACCAAAAGATTTTAAGTGGGTTTTTAGCTTGCTTGGAGTGAACATAAGTTCATTAATGAGTCATTTTTCCAATAAAACTCATACAGAAATAAAAAACAAACAAATAATACATATGTATAAGCTAAGTGAATAAATAAATGTTTTCTGAAGCATGTTACATCAGCTTGCATCTTCAGATTAATGCAGTCCATGATTATACTTTTTTTTGTCAGAAGAGACTATATCATTCAACACATCCTGAACTCCTTTTTTGCAACTTCAGATAAAAGAACAGAATAACAAAATTCAGAACCAAAGAAATATGACTCAGAAATGGTAATGCTCACTGCCCATTATTTTAAGACATATTACCTTTGTTGGCTCTATCATAAAGCCAGGATCTAAAAGACCTCCATCGTTGTGATCATGATCTACCTCATACATGTTATAAGAGGGATTGCCAATTTCTACATTTATTCCTCCATTGATTATAGGTTGTCTTCTAATTGTTTTTGTCCTAGAACATACGAATAGTAATATAAGTTTGAGTTGTATAAATATTAAAACCAACATGTATGCAGCTATCATGTGTATGTACAGATTTACTGATATACTTGGGAAGGTATGTACATAAAATGCATTTGAAATAAGTTAAATTAGTGACATTTGCCAAGTCACATAGGAAGAACACACCTTGCTTTGGTAAGTCATTATCCCAATTATTTTGACTTACCGTTAAAAACACACTGGAAATAAAACCCTCCTAAATAGCTAATACCACATTAATTGAAATTTAATATTCACTAATTATCTTTTAAAATTATATTTTCCTCCTTTTTCGAAAACTATCCCAAACAAAATAAAGATAAGGAAACTTTGAAATAGATTGTTTTCAATCCCTCAGTCACATGCTTAGAATCGTGTTTTACATAATTCAAAAACTGACTACCAAGTTCTTAGTTCTCTGCTAATGATGCCATGGACAACCTGCTCCTGAATCTTTACAAGGGCATTTTCAAATAAATGGAAATGATACTTCTCATGAAATACAAAATAAATGAATGCACTATTTGTGAATGAAATTCTAATTGTGACATACATATTCCTATTCAGCAATCGTATTCGCATTATTAACGATACACATTAATATAACAAGATGCTCTTCAGAACCCTTGCTGTTTGAAGTAAACACTACTGCAAATGTAAAACTCTATTGATTTTAAAATGATATGACTCCTTGCTGGTTATGTCAGAATGTATCAATAGAGTCATTCCATTGGTATAATAATAGGGGGGAAGAGTTGCCTAAGTTGTCATTATTTAAAATAAAATAGAAGGATAAAATGGTTTGGAAAACATAATATTTTATAGCTGGAGTAACTAAAAAATGTTTTAATAAATTTAAAAAATCTCTCGTTCGGCAACTATTTGTGTGATTTATTCACAGTTAATCTAGAACATTGCGTCTTACCTTCTTTTTCTTTTACAAAGCACTAACCCAATTACCAAGGTGGTTATCAAAGTCACCAAGAGGATAAGAGGCACAATGATGGCAATGCTTCCTGTAAAATCAATGAACGAATAGATGAAATAAATTAAGTAAGGAATGATATAATACTTTATCACACCAAATCATTTGACCAGCGACATAATAAATATGTAGCTTAGCTTAAATATTTATGTTCCTGGCTCATAACAGTGTTACTGAAAATCATTCTGCCATTAAATACTTGATCTGCTGGAAATGTATCTTTAGACAGCTTTCATGTACGTGTTTCATTTAAATATCTTGAGATTTATCTGACTTCTTTGTCAATCTGAGATTACTGAGTTTCCCCATCTCCTACTTCCAATTATGCAAGCACATGCTGGTAACTACTACTATTTGTGAATGAAGTGCACATTTACACAGTGGTCATATATTGGTCATACTTATACAGTTTTACTGGTCCATTCCTACCCTTAGTTGTATTCTTTTAGCTGTAAATAATTTCTGGCCATGAGTAGACATGGAAAGTTAGAGGGCAGTTGTGCAAACCAAGAGAACCATCAATGTTAGATTTGGAGAGACATTGGCCTAATTCCGCTGGGATTATATGTCATACATGGCTGGAAGAAAACTGAAAGCAAGAGTTGCCTGAAAACAGGAGAGAATTAACTAGCTAATGTTAACTTTTCTAACAGATAAAATTTAGGGACCACAAACTAAGGCTGTTGTCTAAGACTTAGAGTAAATATCCGGTTGATCCCAGTCATTTTAATCTCCAGCAAACCTAAGAAACAAAACAACCCAACAACTAATTAAAATGTACTGTGGGCATCTTGAATGATTTAGGAACACCTTTTAAGAATTATTAAATTATATGATTTATTTTTCTGAAAGTACTTGTGCATGTAACAGTCCTGGGAAAGAAACTAATGATAACATATGCGCAATAAACAGCCATTGAGGGACTTCATTATAGAAATGTAATTCTGTTTTAAGAGTTTTATAGCCAGAGGTATCTGGGTTTGATAGTCCACACTGGAGATCACTTACCAAAATATCAGTCTCATTAAAGAAATTTGGGGTATAAAATAAAGTGCCTCTTTGGAACTTTAAGAAAGAATTTATTTATAATAACCAAAAACCCATCTCTTCTACCCAAGAAAAAATAAGACTCACCTTCTTCAGTCACTTTCTAAAGTGTAAAACTCATTTTTACTTTTTCATGTAGCTGCTAAGACTATACAAGCTAGTGAGTTTGATATTACATTACCTCCTTGTTTTTGAGAAAGTGAACTTTATATGAAAGTGTAATTTATTAGAAATTAATGAAAATAGAGAATCTGGTCCCTTGGATGGTAATTAACATTTGTTCACAAGATTTAAATATCAGGAACAGCTTGGTTTCTTCATAAACTATGACTTCAACTGATTAATCTCAACTTTATAAATATTCTTAACTTCATTTTTTTTTTTTTTTGCTAGAGTGTGTGTAAAACTGGTAAGTATAAACTATCTACCAACTCTTTTTAGGTATATAAGATTTTGTTTCCCCTCAGTGCAATTATAAATTATTTTAAAAAATAGATTGTACTTGTTCTATAGTTTTCCTTCCTGTAAGGGAGAAGGCTGTTTGTCACGTATGTGAGGAAACAAAAGATTCTTTTGCCCTCATCACAGATGGTAGTTGCAATCCCATCTATTATGGCACTCTGTTTAAGAGTCTAGATTTCTGATATGTTTTTGCAACCAATCAAGGTAACTGAAATAATGCTTGGGTCACAGATAAATAATGCAGGGTGGCAAGTTTCTGTTGTTGTTTTGCAAAATAGTTTATATTGATGGAAACAACTGCCAATATTTTTATAATTATAAAATAAGTATTTATCAAAGTATTTCCTAGTAGCATATCATCAGTAAATATCACAGTGTAATATATAATGATCAACATCTATTGTAGGTGATATTTTGATAGTATATTAAAGTGATTTGAAAAAGTATACTCTACTTACTCAGGGTAGGAGGATATAACAACAATTTTCCACACACAAAAAATAGAGCAAATAGAGCAAATCTTTCCTTGCAACATGTTTCTGAAGTTTCATTATACACCACTCAGAAGAAAGAACTATATTATCAAATTGTTATGAGGAAGAACCACCTCCCATGTGAGGGGTAGTGCCACATAGCAGTTGAGGTAATATGCTCTGGAGTCAAGCTACCTCTGTTCAAATCTCAGGTCTATTTACTTACAACATATCCCTGGGCCAATGACTTCCCTTTGTCTCCGTTTATTCACCTATAGAATAGGTATTATCTTTAATAGTTACCATAGAATTCTATAAATAGGATGTGCCTATTTTCAGTTATGAAAATAGCAGACTTGATGAATATTTGTTTGGTGGAAATTAGGATGAAGACATTATTTTGTGGCATTTTTTAAGTTACCTCTTTATATTTGAAAATCTGTGTTTCCTAGTATCAGATAGATTTTTTTCTATATTGAAACATGATGGATTGTATGAAACAGATAAGGATAAAATAGGAAAAAAGGAGAAACAATGATCCTATAACTGATCGCTCGTATCTTTTGTACTATAGTAAAACACAATTTCTACATCACTATCCCACAAACGCTGAGTGTATTTTTATCTTCCTCACTTTCAGCAGAAAAAAAAAGCACAATTTGAACATTCAGCAGCCACTCCCTTTAAACTTTGTATAAATTTATAATAGGAGCATGCAATAAATATTTCATTATCCTGAGTGTGAAATTCTTCAAAGTATCTTTAGAATAGTCACACTAGCTTCCCCCCCCTCCCCCACTATGTTGCCCTTGGTATAGTGCTGTGGCATCACAGCTCACAGCAACCTCAAACGTTTGGGCTTAAGTGATTCTCTTGCCTCAGACTCCCAAGTAGCTGGGACTATAGGCACCTGACACAATGCCCAGCTATTTTTTTGTTGTACTTGTCATTGTTCTTTGGCAAGCCTGGGCTGGGTTCCAACGCACCAGCCCTGGTGTATGTGGCTGGTGCCCTAACCACTGAGATACAGGCACTGAGCAACACACTAGCTTTTTCAAATGGAACTTAAGCACAAAGCTGTACAATAATATTTCTGCCTTATTCCACTGGCTGTTTCAGATACTTTAAACTTCAAGGTCCAGTCAACATCAGTACCACTACTCAAAGATGATTAAGAAAGCTGGGTGAGCATGAATCAGAAAGGTGGGTGCAAAATGATAGCATTATGCAGACATAGGCAGTGTATTCTGGATTATGCCGAGGTTCAGTGATAATGGACTATTTCAACTTAAGGATAAATTCCTCAAGTATCATCTTTCTTTTAAGCAGATGACTTTTGCCAAAATTTGAGAAGCACTTGGTATCCATTCAAAACTATTAGATTTTATCTAAGAAAATAAAATACAAGTAACCCTCCTACCTTAGGAAGAATTAGTTTAACTACCTTTTCTGTCCTGTCAGACTTAGTGAGGCAAGTTGCTCCAAGCGTAACTGTCTGGTAATAAGCACCTTCTAATAGAATCATTATTTAGTCAACTTTGCTCAAGTCTGTGATAATTTGACATTTACATAGTTATAGCCCTTCTAATGTGTATTGATACTTTCATTAAATATAATGACTTTGAATCAGAATCTTTGGGAAAAGGGCTGCAACTCCTTGTAACTCCTCCTACTGTTAGAAGTTCTCCATCTCACATAGTAGTGTGTGGGGGTCAAGGACAGTTTGGTTTCACAGGTCCCTGAAACAACCCCCTCACATGTGAGAGTGCTGAAACAGATACATGCACTGAGAGGTGTTTTTTCCTAAAGGAGGTTGTTGCCCATGCAAGTGATGGGAGACTCTACTCTAATAAAATGCCCGCAGCACTCCTCTTCAAATCATTTTCCCAATACCAAACTTTCCCCTGTGGATAGACCTTATATAAAGTTTCAAAATTCAACACATATTCTAGTCTTGTTTTTCTCTTTTCATAGAGTTTTTATCAATATTTTACAATTACTTTTTACTCTCTAAAGGCTACGTGTCTGATTTATATTTAATAATCGCAAAATTACCAGAAAGGACAGGCTAACGCACCTTCGCAATTCACAATTTATAAATTCAGTGTGTCCTATAGGTTTGTAATGACAAATGTATTTTTCATATTAAAAATTGCTGTTTATGATTGTTGAATTTTGTAAATAGTTTACAACATCATGTGTAAATTACTATGCCTCCAGAATTATGACAACATTAAATCTTGGGAAGAGAAAGAGACTTTTTTCTTTTCTTCTTCTTTTTCTTCCAATTAGGCAAGGTATATTTAGCCACCTCTAACCTTTTTTGAACAATTTCCCTAATCCCTGGTTTTTATTCCTACAATTATATGCCATACCTTCCTTGAGGACTTCTACTTTCCCTGACCCAGGCACAGAACGCAAATTCTAAAGTAAACTCAAAATATTCCATAACCACGAATCATTCACTTTACCTCTCCAAATTCAAATATTTATGTCTATAGCCTACATATTCTAGACTTATTTGCCATTTTTAAAGATATTCATGCTTATTAACCCAATTAATCTCTAAATGTTGGAAATTTAGACAATGTTGCTTGAACCATCTCAAGCAATGACATAGTAACAATTTTGAGGCAACAAACAGATCAGCAAACATTTGGGGATTGCTTCTAGGGTACAAATATCATATGCTTTAGACTTTGATAGTATCTTTCCTTTTTTACAAATTTTGAAGTAGTATGCTTTTGTCTGTTTTCATGAAATCTTTTTCACCAACAGTGAAGGATGAGGGAAAAATCGCTTAACATAAGCATTGATCATTCAGGGATATGATTTTCCCTCTTCAACTATGTATTCACCCACTCATCAAACATGGTCAAATGTATGAAAATATGCATAAAGTGGAAAATTTTATTTCATAGTTTTATTTTGAAAATTTTTATAATGGCACTTAAAGTTGTCAGAAAATATAAACAGATGCACTAAGATGATGTAGACAGATCCGATCTACATCTATAGATGAACAAAAAAAAAGCTTACAAAAATGATCTATATTTTCATATACTTCAAAACCAGAGCTTTAAGGACAAAGGAGCAATAAGTCGACTATGATCTGTATAAAAATTGTTTGTTAATTTATTTTTCTTTACGAATAACTGATGGAGTCTGTTTGTTCCATAGCACACTGAAATACATTTCAAAATAATACACTCTGCTATAATTATAACAAGGAATTAGTTTTCTTCTTGGAGTTTTCTCAATCCATTGTGACATCTGCAGGCTTTGCAGGTGAGGGATATTTCCTAGAGAAAAGCTTATGCTAGGTTGGCAGATGTGTATTCTGAAAATTGCCCAAGTTGGAGATGAACTCTCACTGCCTACAACAGCACATAAATACTGTTTTTTTTTTTTTTATTAAATCATAGCTGTGTACATCAATGCAATTATGGGGTACAATGTGCTGGTTTTATATACATTTTGAAATATTTTCATCGAACTGGTTAACATAGACTTCACGGCATTTTCTTAGTTATTGTGTTAAGACATTTATATTCTATATTTAGTAAATTTCACATGTACCCTTGTAAGATGCACCATAGGTGTGGTTCCACCAATTTAAATACTAGTTTTTGTCAATCTCATCTTATAGATGAGAAGTCAGGGCTCCGTTTTTTAAGAACACCTGGATTGTAGTGGATCTCTTGCAAAATTCCATGAAAACCATTTTCTAAGACTCAAGTACTTCAGTAATGACATAAAAAGAATAATTTCTAATCTATGCAAACCACTCACAATATTAAACTTACTTGTGCTGATATGATCAGACTTGCTGCTCTTTGGGGCTGGCCTCTCACACTGTGTGCCTGACCAGTTGGCGGAACATCTAAAAAGATACAAACAATAAACAAGACTGGTGAATAGCAGAACCCGTAAGTCTGCTAATGCAATCATTTCAACCAAGTGAAATGTTACACGAATAGCTTCAATTGTACTTCACTTGTTGAAATACTTTTTAAAATTTAGGTTTACAGAATTTTTTTCTCATTTTGTGTTAAAACTGGTGTAATTTATACCAATATTGAACTATTGATTATGAAGAGGAAATTCATTTGAGAATTAATGAAAATTTTAAGTAGACACTTAAAAAAATTGAGTTTCATATTAATCAAATCCTTCTTTATTAACTTTCTGTGATTTTATTTTTTTACCGGTTGTAGGCCAAAGTGGAACTAACTACCAAAACAGAAAATGGTCATTTGTGTCCTAGTTCAAGCTGCAGAATTTTTCCTCTCCTAATCAGACATAAGAAAATACAATCCTGTCCTATTTTAAATAATACTTCCATTACCATGAAGTCAAGAGAATGCGCCCAAGTTTTTATTGGGAGAAGCTGTTTTCCCTGTATAGATAACTATGATAATATGATGAAAAATAGTAAAGAATAAGAATAATAGATCTGATTAAAATCTATTCTTTAAGCATAAACCACAACTATGTAATATGCTGGCTGCATCCAAATCAATGCTGGGATAGTCTGAGCTGAGTATAAACAATATTCATTGGCTAACACAGGATGCCTCTGTGCATCTGTTAGAGGAAATCCATAGAAAAACAATTTAATTGGCACCAGTTCTTATTTAAAATGACTGTCAAATATCACCATATCAAGGATAGTTGTACACAGTGAAAGAATAACTTCCAGAATCATTCCAAGTGGATTTCTATGGGCTAGTGGGCCAAACTAAATAACTAAATAACAGCAATTTCAATGTCTCCGCCAATTCTGCCACAGCCAATTCTGATAGCTGGTGCTGTTTTCTGAACTAGGTTTCTATGATGCCATGTGGATGATCTGTGATATACGTAAAGATAGTATTGGAAGTCCTACAACATGGGCAGATTCTCATAAAATCATCACTATTGATAAAGTTAAATCATGAATATAAAAAAGTTTGTTTCAAAAGAGCATATATTAAATATAATTGCCAATAATGTCAAATAATAGTTATTGGATTAATAATGATAAATTCAATACTATGAATATGGAGTATGACTTAAATGAAAATTAATATCATTATTTATGTTATGATTCAGGTAATCACTCATGCATCAGCCCAGCTTTTTGTTCAGTTGCCTCATAAAAAGCTTCCATATTAAATAATTTTCTATGTATCACATTTATTATAAACCAACCTACAAGTAGTTCATTACAATTAATAAATATATTTTTAGGCCAGGTCTATGACTATCTATATTATTGAAGGGAGTAGATGGGATGAGTATATTTTTAATAATTAAGATAAAGTTAACAATCAATAAAATGATTGATTTTTTAAAATAATTTTTGTTCTTTATCATTGTGGATTTCGCAGATAAATAATCTAGAAAATTGTTCTAGTTCTTCACAAATTATAATTGTTTACATAGTCCACATATAATTCAAAATCAGATATTTAGGAGCATTTTGCAAACATGTCCTCAGAGTGAATTCTGATGATTGCAAAACTCTTTGTGTTATGTAGCTTTACATCTGTTGAGTTTTCCTAATTGACCACTGAGAATGTTTTCCATGCTCTAGTGAAAAACTAATTACTGACTGCTCAGTAATTTCATTATAAAGCTGATGTGTACAAGGCTGAATGTGTGCAATTATATTGAATTATTGATTAAATTATCAAAATTTACTCTTTATATTACCTCATTTAAAAAAGTACAGATGAAATCATGGTTCAGTTTCAATAAAAGGAGTGACCCAAAGTATATTATGTTGTGTTACTATAGCTAAAAACCTTTAGGAATCGTCATTACACTAAAATGCTTGGAAGTCAGAAACTTGACTTGCTGAAGAATTAAAGAATTAAATGCAAATTGACATTATTAATTTGTGACATGAACATTATGTATATTAAATAAAATAGAAAATTATGGAAAACATGCCTTTAGAGTTCCATATTAACACAGAGAGATTTTTGCACAAAGAAGATAAGGATAGTGTGATTCTTATTACAAACTCTCAAATTGTTTGAGTACAACAGGTGATATTTGGTAATAGTGTGGTATAATTTATACCACTATTTATGATAGATGAAAGAAGTCACCTGCTAGTGGTCATAATTCTCTTCCCTTTGGAATTGTGAGAAGCACCTTTAAATTTCTAATCTTCAGGGAATATTTTACTTATTCCATAGCAGAAAAAGCTCTCAAAGACTCTCCTGAAGAAATAATTAATTTTAACAGTTATACACCTTAATCAGTTGATGATCACCTTGCAATTCTCCCTGTACTCCTTATAATATTTTATGGCCAAAGGTAAAATATGTTCCACTGTTCTGCATTTGTCTCAATCTTAAAAATCTCTTTGAGACATTAAATCAAATAGTCATTATTCTGGTTGCCTACTTACAAAATTACAACTTAGGCATTTGCTGCTCCACAAGTTCTTCTAATGGTTGATTTAAGACCACATATTTTCACCATCTTTATAGAAATTCATAAATCTTCAGTCTCTACCCATGAGTAGATTACAGTGATCAAAGCCAATAATGGAAAAGTATTTAAAAATAGGCAATGTGTTCAGATCGTCAAAATGTCCTGTCCAATTTTCCACTGAATTATTTGCACAACCATGCTGATTATAATTTCTCTGTACCTGTATTTTTTTCATCATTCCTTAAGCAAAACCCATAGTCCATGCTCTGGAAATCTGAAATCTGTACCGTTGCAATCCACTGCTCCCTGTTATTCATCCAGGGACAATTTTAAAGTTAGTCTTTCATGGCCCATCCAAGCAATTTATTTTTCCTCACCAATACAAACACCTGTTATCAATCATTTAGAAACTAATCTTCAGTTGATTCCCAAGTCCCTTAACCTTTAGGTAATGAAAATCAGCTTCAACTTATGTGCTTATCACTATACTATTTTATATTATTTAAATTGTTAAACATGTTCATGAATTTTAACTGAGTATTGTAGGATCAGGGATAGACAGATAGAGAGACATAGATTCCTATTTATTTAGTCAAATAATCATTCATCTCTCTGTCCTTCATCATCAAATGAAGATACTTCTCTTAGCACTTTCTTCCTGCAGGCAACAGCTAACTGGTAAAGGGTTACGGATTTATCATTCTTTGTCATCTTCCCTTCTTTCCTATGCTATTGATATTAGAAAGATTACTTACTACTACATCGTTTTCTTCTTTCCTCCTCTCCTCTCCCTCTCCTTCTCCCTTTCCTGCTCCTTCTCCTCTCCTCTCCTCTCTCTCTCTCTTTCTTTCTCTCACTTTATCACCCTCAGTAGAGTGTTGTGATGTCACAGCTCACAACAACCTCCAACTCCTAGGCTTAGGTGATTCTCTTGCCTCAGCCTCCCAAGGAGCTGGGATGATAGGTGCGGGCCACAATGCCTGGCTATTTTTTGTTGCAGTTAAGACAGGGCCAGCTTCGAACCTGCCACCCTCAGTATATGGGGCTGACACCCTACCCACTGAGCCACAGGCAGCGCCCTACTACATTGTTTTCTTAATGTTACTATTCCACTTCCATAATAGCTGTATGTATAAATAGCTCTTAATTACATGTATTTAATGACATATTCTTTATGTTCTGGACTAGAATAAAGATTAGCAAAGTGATTAAAAAAATTAGATTCCAAGGTTCCATATTCCAAAGAATTCTTTAGATGGTTTGGGGGTGTAGCCAGGAATGCAAGAATCTACATTTTAACTAAATGAATGTGATGAAAGTAATCCATATATCATACTTCAAGATTTATTTGAGATAAATTATTTTTATATTCCAGTAGACTTTGTTCTTATACCAAATGTTATTTAATCATTTTTATTCTTACATGCCAACTATCATTGTTAAAAAGGTTAAATAACCTGGGTAGAAGTTCTTTACACAGTATGTGGAGTTTATTTATTTATGTTTTGTAATTACTTCTCACCTGAGTGTTACTATATGAAACACATAGTAAATTCATTAACAGTTTGTCAATTCTTGCATAGCTACAATAGTTTTGTTCCAATGATCATTTCTGTAGTATAGGGAAATATCCTTGCATAAAGGCTGCAGTGTACGGATGTTACTAGGAAGCACAATAAACACATTTAGAATGTCAAAGTAAGTTCTGCATTTGTAAGGGGACAAAATACAACCTTTAAAATAGAAGTTATTATATTTTATAGAACAACCATAAGATATATTATTAAACTGTCCAAAATAATGATAGTTCTGAAGTAGTAGAGTGATTATTATAAAGGAAATTAAATTAGATATAAAATACTGATGATATATTAACATTTTTAGGTATTGTATTTCACTATAACAATGATCAATTTACATGAACTGCTTTTATCACTTTGCAGAAATGTGGCCTAGAGGAGGGCCACTTTGGGAGGACTGCAAAATAAAATAATAAGATTAATAGCTGCTCCCACTTTTCATCATATTTAAAGGTCATGGACTCTTGTGACTATAGTGGAATTCAAAGGTGAACCTTAAAGCTATTTGAAATTGAATTTCCCCTCTCATATATATATATGCAAGGCTGCCCTTATTAACCATGATGATGGAGGCATTTGGAAAGAAAAATCTTTTAATATAACCTTTTCTTTATCTATACAGGAAAAACAATGGTACAATAGGATTAAAGAAGTCTTGGAAAAGTTGGGCATGGTATCATGAATGTTTCCATGCTCCCAAAACCTCATTCAATAAGAAAGAAAAATGTGATTATATGTTATGCAGCAGATTTATGCAAAAGTAGTTTCAGTTAGTGAAGAAAATTAGAAAAACTAAATACTACATGCAAAATTTTTCTGATTAATTCTCCAATTTCACTCTTTTGGTGTTGAGAACATAACTAAATATACATGA